GCAGCCTCTGGACCATGAGGAGCTGGAGCTGTTGCAGTTCCAGGTTAGCGCGCGCGACGCGGGCATGCCTCCTCTGGGCAGTAACGTGACGCTGCAGGTGTTTGTGCTGGATGAGAACGACAATGCACCCGAACTGCTGGCGCCTCGGGCTGGAAGCACTGGCGGCGCGGTGACTGAGCTGGTGTCGCGGTCTGTGGGGACCGGCCACGTAGTGGCGAAGGTGCGCGCGGTGGATGCTGACTCTGGCTACAACGCATGGTTGTCCTATGAGCTGCAGCTGACTGCAGGTGACGGGCGCAGCCCATTCCGCGTGGGTCTGTACACGGGCGAGATCAGCACAACGCGCCTTCTGGACGAGACCGATGAGTCGCGGCAGCGCCTGCAGGTGCTGGTGAAGGACCACGGAGAGCCGGCGCTGACGGCCACTGCCACGGTGGTGGTGTCTCTGGTAGACAGAGGCCAGGTACCAAAGGTCTTATCGCGGGCACTGGCTGGAGCTGCAGGCCCGAAGGCAGCGATTGTGGATGTCAACGTGTACCTCATCATCGCAATCTGCTCGGTATCCAGCCTCTTGGTGCTCACACTTTTGCTGTACACTGCGCTGCGGTGCTCTGCGCCTCCCACCGAGGGCGCATGTGCGCCCGGCAGGCCCAGGCTGGTGTGCTCCAGCGCGGTGGGGAGCTGGTCCTATTCGCAGCAGAAGGCATGTTCTGGGGAGGGCCCACCTAAGACGGATCTCATGGCCTTCAGCCCCAGCCTTCCTCCCTGCCCAGTGGTAGAAGTGGAAGTAGAAGACCAGTCTACTGGGGGGGACCAGTCTAGAAAGGTGAGTTGTTACATTTCATTTTCGTATTTTGTCTTGTGAATATTTTCTCTCACCTAATTTTTTTCACAAGTATGTCTCAGAATATTTTTATTCGTTGCATACCATTTATATGTAAATATTTCTAGTAATACTTTTGCAATACAGTTTATTGAGGAAGTGTATTTAATATTTCGTTTATACTACCCAGTATGTCAACCTTTGCTTGGTACTTTAACTTAAAAATGACATTTTTTTTTTCCTGAAAACGCTAATATTTTAAAATAGAAATACTTGACATAGGTTGTAGTTTTGACTATCCATTTTCATTATTTCTTTTTTTGTTACAAATATCTTTAAGATCAATACTTTAATGCATGTTTATTTCATTTTCAAATCTAAATTTTTGTTTGACCTTATTACTTTAATAAAAAGATCCCACTGATCCATATCTCTTTTCAGTGAAAATGAGTGTCTGTGGGGGGGGTTGCTTTGTAGGTATAGAATATTAGAACCACAACTTACATGGACATTCAGTGATTATACTTTTCCTCAATTGGGCAATATGTTGACCAGGAGTTCAATCGTTAAAATTTCCTAATCTTAGGAATTAAGATAAAAATGAGCCTTAAAAATGTGTTTTATCTTAGCAGTAGTGATACCTGCACTAGTGTGTATTATTTGCTTTCCTTAACAGAAAAACTATTTTTCAAATTTATTTACAATAAATTTATACAGCAACTCTTCATTATCTGCTCTTTTTCAGCATTAAACATTGCCTACAATATTCAAGTATTATCTTTTTCATTTTAAGGAAGGAATCATGGTTATGTTTAATAACAAGGAGAATTGAAAAACTATTTTTAATTTCAAGGAGATTGTAAATACTTACCTTAGTCCACATTAATATTAGAAGTCTGAGGAGAAAATGGAATTACCTTCTTAGAATGTTTTCTACTGATCTGATATATCATACAGTAAAGTTTAGTTTAATGGCTTCCCTGGTCATCTTAAACAGTTTGGTTTGGATGACATAGACTGAGAAATGCAAGCCATTTAAATCACATGTTGGCAAAACTATCCCATCAATTATGCTTTTCTGAAATTGGTTGTTACCTGATACCTATAATTTCATTTTAAATAAAATTATTAATTCTAGTCTTACTAAATACAACTAAATTTATCATCTTGACTCCAATTCTTTGCAATTACTTTTTTCCTTTTCCTTTCCCCTTCATTAGGGAGATTCCATTTGTTCCTCAGTGTGTGCTTCATAAATAATTTCCAAGAAAAGTTGAAATTGTTATTCAACTTTAAGAATACAAAAAAGACTATTGTGGCAGGAATGTAAGCATGACATTGCCTTCAATTACTTTTCATGGTCTGTATCCAACCCTTAGAGATTACAAATGATAAGTTAATGCAGAGTTTAAAAATGCTACAATATCAAATGTTTATAAAATATATGCCTTTCACTCAGATATTTAAAATATATGCTTTTCCCTCAGATAGATAAAAATCCCCTTGAATAATATCATCCCAAAGTATCTTTTTTTACCTTAGTAATAACTTATTTATTATAAAGCTCTCAGTTTTGCATGTGAATTAATCTTTCTACCAATGGTAATTTAAATTCATATAATTTCAAGTCTTGCAGTATAAATGTTAGGAAGGTAATTTAACCTCCAAGGTGAAGATATTCTGATTGGGTCCCCTGCCTTTCAAAGAAGGAATACAATCATTGTAGATATGGAATTGGGCTATTCTTACTTTTCTTTATAATAGTATAAATGTACTCGGGTGGCACCTGTGGCTCAAAAGGGTAGGGCGTCGGAGGGGGCGGGTTCAAACCCAGCCCAGGCCAAAAAAAAAAAAATAGTATAAATATGCAGAGTATTTTCCAGTTCTTTTACTTTTTTATTTAGCAACTTTTTTATGATATTATGTTTTATAAAGTGGACTCTGATAAAACTAGGAGTAATAATGTCTTTGAAGTAAACAACCAAAGATGATATAGGTAAAAGCTTATTTAAAATCAAAGATAGCACAATCTTTTCTCATTCCCTAAAGTATTAATTATGATTTCCCCTTACCACACTGAATTTTATGTTTTTTAATTACGTTTGGACTTGAATGTTTTCTGAGCTTTTGTAATCATAAATCCCAGATCTGTCAACTTCTTCATATATGGCTTCATTTTAGTTTGTACATCCATTTCCTTCTCCTAATATCTGTCCTGTCTATTGGCACTTTATAGTGTGTAATCTTGAACAGTTTTATCCAAACATATCTGTATGCTATTAATAAGTAGAATTATATGTTTACCAATATAGTTCTATTTATTTTACTTTTTCCTCTTTTGGACACATTTCCTTTAAAAATACCTATATTAACAACAATGTTCACCAGTTAACATTTTATGCAACAGCATAATAATCCTGAGATCAAGGAAGGAAATACAGAAATGAGAGGGAATGAGCAGAAAACTCAGCATGTGAAGCTGAGAGATAACAAAGACAAGTTTTACTGATTTGTCTGACAGTGTCTTACTTTGGTTTTGTTATTAGGATAAATATTTTTAGAAACTTCATGGACAATTTCTTCTATTCAGTTCTGAGGCATGAAAATGAAAATCTCCCAAATAAAAGATTGTTTTTCTTTTTGAGACAGTCTCACTATGTTGCTCTTGGTAGAGTGCTGGGGCATCACAGCTCACAGCAACCTCAAACTCTTGGGCTCAAGCTATTCTCTTGCCTCAGCCTCCCAAGTAGCTAGGACTACAGGTGCCCACCGCAACATCCTGCTATTTTTTTTTTAATTGCAGTTGTCATTGTTGTGTGGGCCCACACTGGGTTTGTCAGCCTTGGTTTATGTGGCTGACATAGTAACCACTGTGCTACAGGGACTGAGCTGAAAAGATTCCTTTTTCATACTCTTGTAAATAAGGCATTAGTCCATTTCTTTTAAAACTATAAATTTTAATTTTATAATAATGTTTAACATGATATTTATTAGAGGACATTAAAATGAAACTAATCAAGAGTGCTCTTTAGTTCTTGTTGATACAGTATTTGTAATAGTCTCTTTTGAGATGAGTTACTAACCCATATATTTATTGGAATACTATAGTTATTGGCTATATGTAAGTCTTAGAATTTGGAAGTTTCAAACCTTTTCTGTTATACAGGATGGACGTACAGTTCACGTGCTTACACATGAACTGTATGTCCACCCTGTATGTAATTAACATAGCAATATTTTAAAACAAAAATGGAATAGACCTTCAGCTTAGAGTCTCTCCTAAAGAGAATGGTGGTCACTTCAGTCAGTAAACATAAGAAAGTTTTTAAAATATGCTCTTTATGAATTTAGTTGCATTCATATGCTAAAATTTTTGTTGAATTTTCCTTTATATAATATATTGGTCTAGAAGTTATGTTTTTCACAATTAAAAATATTGAAGTAAAAATCATTGACATAGATTTACAATGATTCAATTGCTGTTTTAGAAAGTGCTCAAAAAAAGAGCTGAAGCTCACTTTTACATAAAACCTAACATTTCTTTGAGTATCCATTTACTATTATTTTTAGTAGGGAAAATGTGGAATTTTCTTTCTTTCTTTCTTTCTTTCTTTCTTTCTTTCTTTTTTTTTGAGACAGATTCTCAAGCTGTTACCCTGGGTAGAGTGCTGTGGCCTCATAGCTCACAGCAACCTCAAACTCAGGTTCAAGCAATCCTCTTGCTTCAGTTTTTCTATTTTTAGTAGAGACAAGGTCTTGCTTTTGTTCAGGCTGGTCTCAAACTTGTGAGCCCAAGTAATCCACCTGCCTCAGCCTCCCAGAGTGTAGGATTACAGTTGTGAACCACCAAGCCCAGTCCGAATTTTCTTTCTTTCTTTCTTTCTTTTTCCATTGTCTCATTTTGTTTATTAGACTACCAAAATAGTTCTCAAGATTTTAAATGAATTAACATTAAGTTAAATTAAATTAAAATTACATGTCTGTTGGGTAAATATCTAGTAGTGGGATTGCAGGATCAAGTAATAGGTCTAGTTTTAGTTCTCTGAAGTATCTCCAGACGACTTTCCATGGAGGCTGTACTGGTTTTCAGTCCCACCACCAGTGGAAGAGTACTCCTTCCTTTCTCCATCCTTCTCTGCACCTGTCACTTTAAGATGTTTTTCTTTTTTCTTTTTTCCAAATCAGAATTACCATAAATATCATTTGTTTTAGAAACACAGGCCAATCGAGTGGAAGCTCATCATTTTGTGCTTTGAGAATTATTGATATGCAACATTCTCACTGAAGTGGAATTTTCTTAATGGATTCCATCTACTAGGAGAATTTTGATGTTGGATAATTCGTCCCTTATAGTCATGAGAATGATTAAAATATTTATTCTTCTTCAAAACAACACTGATACAGTTGATTGTAACTGATAAAACTGTCATGCAAATTTTAATATACCTTTTGTATTTGAGAGTAAAAACAGGGATGTAAAAGAGAATGAATAAATGAAACTTAGAATAACCTTTATATTCTTGCCTCCTCAAACCAATTCTAGAACAAGGTAGGTATAAACAAATATAATTTGAATTCCTGATTCTGTGTATTTTTGAATGAGAAAGATATTATCTTTGCCAAATAAGTGATGAATATAAAGCATTGAAGTTATCCTTCAGGATGGAGACTACAACATTTGCCATGGGCAGATATAGTAAAAAAAAAAAAGCTTTAAAATGAAACAAAATGTTATAAATATACTTGGTGTTTCCAAGGGTCAATACTAGGTAAATAAATATTAAATCAAAGCAAATATATCTTTGGATAAACCGATTAGTAGCTTCTCATCATTGACTTGAAATCCCATGATGTACAGGAGGCAACTTAGAGATCAAATGTTTAGAATAATTTAACGGAGTGTAATGAGTAAGCAAGAGAAAATTATGTGGTAGGAGTAAACTTTGTAAAAGCCCAATCCAAAATTATCAGTTCTAAAAAAATCAAAAAAAAGTATCACTAGTATCCTACAAACATGGTCTTTCTCATACTCACATATGTGACAATATAGTTAGTACACTAGTACTTTCTCTTAGATGTCTATATAAAAGTTAAAACTTTTCGCGGAATTTGATTTGTAAGACAAAACCATCTTTAAAGAACTACTGGTCACACACAAAAAAGGTACAAAAGACTTAAAACCCCATAATGAAAAACATAGACACATCTAAAGGAATAAGGAAAGAAGCAAGGTAAGCGAAATAGTATGAACTCAAAGGCACTTACATTTTGGGCCACAGGATGTCGTTGTTCTCCAAGAAGAATATAGGGGTGTATATATATATATATATATATTTAACAGAAGAGAATCACATTATCTCCGGATCAGAAAGACGCTCCACTGTTCCGGTGCTTTAAAGACTATAAACACACCCGTTATTGTTAAGATCAGCTGGGAACTCAAGATCAAGGAATCAAAAGAAAGATCTTAAAGAGACTACGTCTTTCTAATCAAGAAATATTGTTTCATTAACCAAAAAAGAGGCATGATGGCAGTCGCCAGACCAGGTAGTCAGGGAACCTGGAACCTGCTGCTCTCGCTTCTGCTTCTCGAATTCTGGGAGAGGGGAAACAGCCAGCTCCACTATTCCGTTCTGGAGGAGGCCAAACACGGCACCTTTGTGGGACACATCGCTCAGGACCTGGGGCTGGAGCTTGTGGAGCTAGTGCCGCGCCTGTTCCGGCTGGCGTCCAAAAGCCGCTTGGCCCTTCTGGAGGTAAATCTGCAGAATGGCATTTTGTTTGTGAATTCTCGGATCGACCGGGAGGAGCTGTGCGGGCGCAGCGCGGAGTGCAGCATCCACCTGGAGGTGATTGTGGACAAGCCGCTTCAGGTTTTCCATGTAGAGGTGGAGGTGAAGGACATTAACGACAATCCTCCTGTGTTCCCGGCTACACAAAAGAATCTGTTTATTTCCGAAACTAGGGCGCTTGACTCTCATTTTTCACTAGAGGGCGCCTCGGATGCAGACGTCGGAACCAACGCTCTGCTGATTTACAGACTGAGCCCTAACGAATATTTCTCACTGGAAGCACCAACCAACGATGAGAAGGTAAAGCCACTTGAACTAGTGTTAAAAAAGCCTTTAGACAGAGAAGTCACTTCCGAGGTTCGCTTGGTGCTCAAAGCAATTGATGGGGGGAAACCTGAGCTGACTGGCACTGTAGAGCTGCATATCACAGTGCTAGATGTCAATGACAATGCCCCAGTGTTTGATAAAGCGGTCTATCATGTAAAATTACTGGAAAATGTAAGAAACGATACCCTAGTTATTAGGCTTAATGCTTCGGATTTGGATGAGGGCTCAAACAGCCATATCCTTTATTTCTTTGAAAATGACGTCTCTCCTAACATAGAAGCCTCTTTTTGCATAGATGCAAACAGTGGAGAAATAAAAGTAAAAGGAAAAATAGATTTTGAGGAAACTAAATTATGGAAGATTCAAATAAAGGCCATTGACAGAGGGAATCCCCCAATGTTTGGTCACTGCACAATCTTGATAGAAGTGTTGGACATCAATGATAATGCTCCAGAGTTAGTAATAACTTCTCTATCGCTACCTGTGCAAGAGGATGTTCCCCTGGGGACTGTCATTGCTCTAATCAGTGTCACTGATCCTGACTCTAGTGCAAATGGACAGGTGACCTGCACCCTGACCCCCCATGTCCCCTTCAAACTGGTGTCCACCTTCAAGAATTACTATTCGTTGGTGCTGGACAGCACCCTGGACCGCGAAAGCAAATCTGACTACCAGTTGGTGGTGACAGCTAGGGATGGAGGCTCGCCTACGCTGTGGACCACAGCGAGTGTGTCTGTGGAGGTGGCCGATGTGAATGACAACGCACCAGTATTTCCACAGCCCGAGTACACCGTATTCCTGAAGGAGAACAACCCACCAGGTTGCCACATCTTCATAGTGTCAGCGTGGGATGCGGATGCACAGGAGAACGCGCTGGTGTCCTACTCGCTGGTGGAGAGGCGGGTGGGCGAGCGCGCGCTGTCGACCTACGTGTCTGTGCACGCGGAGAGCGGCAAGGTGTACGCGCTGCAGCCTCTGGACCACGAGGAGCTGGAGCTGCTGCAGTTCCAGGTGAGCGCGCGCGACGCAGGTGTGCCATCTCTGGGCAGTAACGTGACTCTGCAGGTGTTTGTACTGGATGAGAACGACAATGTGCCTGTGCTGCTGGTGCCTCGGGTTGGCAGTGTAGGTGGTGCGGTGACCGAACTGGTGTCACGGTCTGTGGAGGCAGGCCACGTAGTGGCGAAGGTGCGTGCTGTGGACGCGGACTCTGGCTACAATGCTTGGCTGTCCTATGAGCTGCAGCCAACAGCAGGAAGCGCGCGCAGCCCATTCCGCGTGGGTCTGTACACCGGCGAGATCAGCACGACACGCGCCCTGGATGAGAACGACTCGCCCCGCCAACGCCTGTTGGTGCTAGTGAAGGACCACGGAGAGCCGGCGTTGACTGCCACCGCCACCGTGCTGGTGTCGCTTGTGGAGAGCAACCAGGCGCTGAAGGTTTCTTCGCGGGCGTTGGTGAACACTATGGGTCCTGAGGTGGCTCTGGTGGATGTCAACGTGTACCTGATCATCGCCATCTGCGCGGTGTCCAGCCTGTTGGTGCTCACGCTGCTGCTGTACACGGCTCTGCGATGTTCTGCACCTCAGACCGAGGGCGCGTGTGGGCCGGGCAAGCCCGGGCTGGTTTGCTCCAGCGCAGTGGGAAGTTGGTCAAACTCTCAGCAGAGGCGACAGAGGGTGTGCTCTGGGGAGGGTCCACCCAAGACTGACCTCATGGCTTTTAGTCCTAGTGTTCCTCCTGGTTCAGGTTCTGGAGATGGAGTGCAACAGGAGATTTTCGAGAATGTAAGTACAGCAATCCTGGGATGTATTTCTAGCCTATTAATGTCACTCACATAGTAGTTCACCACATTTTTACCATAATTTCATTGCTTCATTTATTATGTTTTATTTTTACTTTTATCCTGAGATGGTCTATTTAAAGTACACTGGAGGCCAGATGCGTTGGCTCATGCCTATAATCCTAGCACCCTGGAAAGCCAAGGCTTATGAGTCGCCTGAATTCAGGAGTTCCAGACCAGCCTGAGCAAGAGAAGGACCCTGTCTCTACTAAAAATAGAAAAACTAACTGGGCGTTATGGCGGGTGCCTGTAGTCGCAGCCACTGGGCAGGCTGAGCCAAGAGGATCGCTTGAGCCCAAGAGTTTGAGGTTATTGCGAGCTATAATGCATAGCACTCTACCCTGGGTGACAGAGTGAGACTGTCTCAAAAATTAAAAAAAAAAAGGTACACTGGAAGACTAATCATTGTCATTACTTTTTATTACAGTTCTCATGAGTATTCTTTAGGAATGGTCAACAGTTGATAAATATAATAATAACAATAATAATAATGGAATAGACTGAGTGGATGATTCCTGTAAATGGGGAAGGTTAAGCAGGAAGGACCATGATGGGAAATGCAGGGCGTAGGCAATGTTCAAATCTTCTACTTCTCAATTTTACCCCAAGTTCACTCTTCCTATTTATTTTCTTATTCTAATTGGTTTCCTCCACTCCTTATTATTTTTATGTACTCAAAATTATCACCATATTATTTAATTTCATAATTTCTTTGCATTTAAAATGTTTAAATTCTTACTTTCCTATAATTTGTAAGCTTACCTATCTCTAGACAGGATTGAGGCAGCTTCATTTAATAAACAGTTTTGTTTCTGAACACATTTATGAAAACTGTTTATGTTTGCTTGAAATTAATGGCAATCATTTTTGAGATGGTGGTTGCAGTGGGTAGACTGGTAGAGTTTTAGCCTGGCCTTGGAGGGAATTTTATTGTTTTATTTTTGTCTTTTATACCCTATTAACTTCAAGCTATTTTTTTTTCACCGTCTTCAATTGATTAAGATAGACACAATTTTGTTCATTTTTTTTTTTTGAGACAAGGTTTTTCACTGTTGCCCATACTAGAGAGCACTGGCATCATCAAAGGTTACTGCAAACCTCAAACTCCTGGGCTCAAATGATCCTCCTGGCTCAGCCCCCTGAGTACCAAGGAAAATAGATGTGCACCACCACACCCAGCTATTTTTAAAAACGTTATTGGAGACACCCAGTCTGGCTATGTTGTGCAGGCTGGTTTTGATCCTCCTGCCTTACCTTCCCCATATGCTAAGATTATAATTGTGAGC